AGGGGGTTTTACTCTCATATTATCTCTGTATAGAGTTATGAATTGTACAATGAAAGTCTCCAATAGGATTAGCTGAGTCTCACATGGCTACACCACAGCTCAACCATAGCTCAACCATTCCTTTTCAGTGAGTTTTATCATTACACATCCTGTGAATTATTGAATAATCATTTATTTTCGTTGTGTTTTGTTAAGTTTATGAACTTGGTGCTTTAATCTAATCTCCTATTTGACTTTTTTAGACTACTTGCATAACTCCTAAATACTCCATTTAATGTTTTTCTTTGTTTTGATATTGTAGCGCTTTTTCTTCGGTTTTGTCTCAATTTTTATTGTTCCCTTGCAAGTGTGTTCATTTTTCTCTATGTGTACGGTGGGGAGCTTTGAGAGATAGGAACAGAAGGTTTTCCTCTTCTATTCTCTCATTCAGAATGGACGGATGACTGAGGAGATGTAATTCTTGCTAGTGTTCCAGGATAGGTGATGCCGTGATGGTAGATCCGCAGTGGCGGAAAGGTGAGAGGATCAGTGTACGGACGTGGAGATCCAGTAATGTTTTTGCTCCAAATCTGAAGATAGGTAGAATGTTTTTGAGTTGACCGATTTAGTTTTAGGTTTTTTACTCTATTATTATTATTATTATTTATTTTGTAAATAAAATGAGAGAAGCTAATTCTACCTAACCTTAAAGTGATTTTGTCAAGATTCTTTTTCTTTTTCAAAACTATTATTTAACTAAAATGATATTTACAAAAATGAATAAAATCTTTGATATAAAATTAATTAATATTTTAGGGTGGCAAAACTCTCAAATTCATCTTTTAAATAGCAGAGTAGAGATTGATTTGCCTTTCAAGAAAATACAAAGGCAAATTACTCTTTAAAATTATTAATTAAAATAAATTACTTATTATTTAATGTGTGATATTATTATATATTAACTTTCGGTTAAAAAATATTTAGGTGATAAATAAATCTTTGACATGTAATGATATCATATATTAAATAATAGGTAATTTATTTTGATCAATAATCTAAAAAAATAATTGGTCTTTATCTTTTTTTTTTGGGAGCAGGTTTATCCCTAGTTTCCTATTTGATGGCAGATTCGGGATTATGCTTTTTAGTATTGACGATTAGCTTTGGGCTTCATAGTTCATACCGTATTAGGTTTTGTGCTTGCGTGCCTTCTGTTCACACTCGTGGCGACTGAGAGTCAAGCTTATGGAGCACGCAAGCATAAGCTTGACTCTCAGTCGCCACGAGTGTGAACAGAAGTCAACAATGCATTAGGATAATAATATGGTAGCAAGCATCCTGCCGGGTGTTTTTGCTGAAACTTATATTTTGAGTTGCATATTGGCTTTAGATCTTTTTTTTTCTCATAAATTTCAAATTCTGTTAAAAGCTGATTTTTAGCATTCAAAAAATGATTAGGGATAATTTTTTTATATTATTTTTTTTACA